CTGCTACTGCTGCTACTTCTGCTACTACTACTAACTATGAGCTACGTCAATAACAACTGCACCAATTCCCACTCGCCTCGCGTGAGATGTCCAAAGCCTGTAGACTATGCCCGCTCAGAGCACATCGCCCATCTTCGCTGAGAGTGGTCCACCCAACATGCCAACCTGACGAAGCAGAACGAGCTTGTTGCTGTCTTGAGGCTTGCAAGCAATTTTGGCTCTTTGGTAATACTACGCTAAACCTGACACCAAAGACTGCCGATGTTCAGCAGCACACGTTTGCCATTCTCCTCCCGTCCAACTGCTTCAGGCACATCTGCGGACCGTAAGGCCTGAATGCCTCACGGACAGCTGATGCTTGGTAGGCGCGACGGGGAAGTGTGTAGCTTGTTGGCAGCAGTCACTCGAAACATCTGCGACAACTTTGGCCTTTCCCTCACTCTGACGCGACGTATCTGCAGACGATGCCCCGACAGCTGATCTGCTCTGATTGCCGGCCTTCCACGCCAAAGACCCGGCCAATCTCGTCAACCAGCGGTGGATCCGAAGGCAACGGCAGCTCGTCAATGAGTTGTCGCAACAGCTCATACTGACCTTGTCCAAGAAGAGGCAATGCCGGCACACCCCTCTGCATGTGCTGCGAAGTTCTCAGTGCAAGGCGAACGGGTTCTCCACGAAAGGTTCGCAGCATGATCGCGAACCTTGAACGTGCCACCACTGAGGTGGCTTGTCTCAACTCATCTCAGCTCAGCAGCCCCCCCATAATTCCCCCGGCTCGCCCAGCTCCCCCTTTCTGTGCCGAGTTGCTCGGAGTCCTGGGGCTCAAGACCCAGGCTTGGGAGCCGTGCCCAAAGCGACTCGCAAGTTGAGCGGTCCCTGGCCTCTGCGGCCTCAGAGCGAACTGCGCTAAGCGGCTAAGCGAAGCTAAGCCGGGCCCGGGTCCCCAGGCCTGCAGAAGAACTGCGGAGAGCGTCCGCAGTCGCGGCTTCACGCCCTTTGCCTTCCAGTCCCCCAGGGTCTCAACATGTCTCATGAGCCCAGAAAATGCGAAACTTAGGCAAAGATGTTTATGGAAAACGCAAACCAAAACAAAACCTTCTTGACCGAAAGACAAGGCAACGGAAACTGCACAAACAGTAATGGCTGCACGTTACAAGTCCCAGGCGTCTTTCCGTGCACTCACGAAATCTGAAAAGGTGCCGGAATCACTGCGCTAGCCTGCGCTTCCGCCACGAGGTTCAGTGCCTTCTCTTGGGCCCCACAAGCGCAGCAAACTCGAACCATGGAGGTAACGGCACTCTCCTGTCAAGAGAGGCTGATCGGACATGGACAGAACAGAGAACCTCAGCCTTGCTACCGGCACTCTACCAGCCATGCCATGTGCCGACCTGCGGCTTTCCACCGTCCAGCTTCGAGCAGGACCTGAAATTCGCAGCATTGTGCTCTGCCATGCTCTGCCCCAGTCCCTCTGAGGCCTGCACTCAAGCAGCCACTCTCCTTGCCGGACAGCTTCGACTCTGCACTCGACGCTCGCAGCATGTGTCGCTGCCGCCTGCAAAAATCCAGTGAACCATTGCTCACACCCTTCCAAAACTTCAAAGCGAGCTGCATGCTTTGGAGCCTTGGAAGGCTTGGCTCTGTCAGTTCTGTCAACCTGTATACCTATTTGATGGCTGGTCTCATATCCTGGTGTGGCGAGGGCTGAAGAGACACGGTCGGCCGGCCCCGACCAGGAGAGGCTAAAGTTTAAAGTGGCACGAACGTCAGAGAACTATGCTAAGAGGGGACCCTGAAAGTCGCTCTCATGTCTCCAGATTCTCGAGCTACTGGCACCTTCTCTTTGCCCGTTTTTGAATCAAACCAACTCTTGTCGCAAGGTGGGCTCGGGGCGTTCGATCAAACATATCATCCCTCGTAGCAAAACGCACTTCATTGTTCATGTCCCTTGGCACAGGTCTGCTGTTGTAACGGCCCCCAATACGGTGCCCCCCAGTTGTACTCCCAGGATCACTTGCGTGTCTGCCCCTCTGGCATGTTCTCGGGATATCGGGGTGCAGGGGCGGAAACCCCCACTCCCACGCGCGCATGCGCAACCCCGCATCTATGCAGGGCTTTCGAAACTCCAGCGGGAGCTAAGCTCCTTTTGGCTCGGCTGCACTACTCAACACGAAACAAGGCTTGCCTGCCTGCCTGCCTGCATGCTTGCTTGCTTGCTGCCTGCTTGCTTGTCTGGGACCTGTAGGCCTACCCCTGGGATCGCCTGTGTTCGTCAGCTCGGCCCCTTTCGGAGTTCGGAAGATGTGTTCTTTCTAGTATTCACTCTCTCTGGCTCTCCCACTTTCTTGATCTCGCTCAGAATCTGTCAAAGTGCGTTCTATGGATGGCAGGGGAGAGCACGAATCACGATGCACGGTGCCTTCTGGGCCAGAACGCTCAAAGCCTGGAAAAAGAAGGTGCGCGATTGCTCACCTCGGCTGTTGAAGAGCGTGCTTCCAAGCCAGCCGTGTCCTACCAGCGGCAACAAAGTTCACGCCCCATGAAATCGGTGAGTCCTTTGGTTACTTGTCTGTTGCACGAGCTGGCCAGAAGCCCCGCCAACGAGGAATTCGGCTGCACGGCACAACACCACAAGACGTTGTTCAGCAACGATGCCAACTCCTGAACACGTGTATGAATCCATGGCCAAAGCTCTTTCGCCGGTTTCCGCTTCTCGAAGGATGCCCAGAACCTGGCCCAGATCATGTCAAGCTGTATAGTTGCATACATCCTCTCTTCTTTTGCACTCGCAACTCGCAACACCTGCCTGAGTAAGATCCACGGCGCTGCGCAGTCGTTCCTCATAGCCTTACAAAGCATGCAGCGCAGGACTTCTTTCAAAATGTCCGTGCACGGCATTGAGGAGGAACTACAATTGGAGCACAGCAAACGCAGCTGAATTATACCAGCCTCGACCCCAAACAGCAACAAGTGGGAGACAAATGGGAGACAAGTGGGAGACAAATGGGAGACAAGTGGGAGACAAATGAGTAGCGGTTTTTAGAGNNNCAGCTAAAGCTGTTTGGGGAATTATGTCTTGACGAATTCAGGCGGACTTGAATGGGCACGTGCGATCTAGCGTCCTGTAATTCCCAATCTGGAAATCTAGTGGAGCAGGCGGAATGCGTTGGTGTTGACGGAAGAATTTGGAGTCATGAAACAGAACGAATGAGTGAAGCGTCCTGCTCTTCTGGCATTTTCTTGGGCTTCCCACACTGCAACTACACATCATGAACAATCGCAGGCAAAACCTCAGGTGCGCAAGGACTGCCAGGGCTCCAGGTGGTGTTGAGGGCTCGGGGTCTTCCTTCATTTACCTACTTTGGATAAATGGCTGAAGGACATATGTTGAGCAGGTCTGAGTGCCTCACGGCAATGCTGACAAGGGGCTTGGATGCGAGTTTGAGCCAGACTTATCAGTCTTCTTGGGCATCCTCAGATTGTGCAAGTTCAGGCTCGTTCAACCCATCACTCAAGTTACTGGCATCCCATACCAACGATGTGACAATGCTTCTTGCAACCACGCTGCTACCGACACCTATGTGGCAGCGCGCCACAGTTTCTCGAGCGGCAAGCGGCAAGCGAGTTGGCACGCGATGGCCCGAGCTCGCGAAGGTTCATCGAAACGATGTGACTTCTTCCCTGCCCTGGTCGTGTTGGGAACTTGGAAGGCACCGAAGGATCTCAGACACGTCTTGGAAAATCTTAATTACAGATGCGGATCTGTTCACTGCTTGACAAGCATTCTAGGGCTACACTAGCAGCACATAGCAGCACTGATAGCACTGGCAATCTCTCCCGCATGATGATTGCATGTCTGCTTTTCCTTCCGAGAGGAAGAACCCGCCGAGCTGATCACAGTGGCCCTGCACACTGTGTCCGGTCCGGCATTGTCCGGCCATGGCTAGGACAGGAAGCATCAACCCAGCCGGCCCAGCACTCGCGCTCTTTTGCGGTGCAGGTCCACAGCAGCAGCTCGCGCTAACTATCACGTCGAAGTTCAGAGAGTGACAGGGACACTTCTGCACTCTGATGACGACATGACCTGCAGCAGCAGGTGCCGGCGGCATGCTGCGGCAGAAGCTCTCGCAGACTTCTCGCCCCTCGATAGGATCCCTGGATATCCGCGTGCGCCACGCAAAGCAGGTGCAGAAACAGATCTAACTTCGCTTGCACTGGTCTCTTCAAAGCAAGCCAGTATGCGAACCTTTGCTGCTACACAAACTTGCCAGCTGGCTCGATGCCTTCAGGCACGGCGCTCGCACTTGTACATGGCCAGCAGTTGCCTCGCATCGGCCACACCCAACACACAGAATTTACGAAGAGCCGTCTGCGCATGCCCGGACGGACCTTCCCAAAGCACAACTGCAAAGTGATCTCTGCCCAGCTGCTGCAGATCCAAATCGCTCAGATGCTTGCCTAACTAGCACATGCAACAAAACTGTGAAAATCAAAGGGCGCAAGCCCCGTTAGCAACATCCAAAATCCTCCAAGCAGGCGAGCGACGGTTTCCAACCAACATTTTAGCTGACGCTGGAATCGTGTCAAACTCATCATACACGGGTGCATAATGCATTAAGCTCTCGAAGTCATAAGGTGCATAGCCGGACTCGTTGTCGCCCGTGTATGCATTCCTGACTGCTGGCACCAAATACACAGGAGCAGGTCTTCCGTGCCATTCACTCAGTCCCACGTTTCAAACTACCCTCGAAATCACCTGCATTGTGCACTTTGCCCGTTGAAGTCAAAGACTACAGATCCTGCCCCCAAAGGATTCAAAGGGCGAAGACCCCTTTCCACCCCTGCGGTGCGGGTGGACTCGCGTGATGGGGGCATATCGCCAAGTTCGAAAGAAGTGGGAGCTGCACAACCAGGATGCAAGAAGTGTGTAGGGTCGTCCCGACACAAAAGCAGGAAGTTCGAATCAGCTTTGCTGCGAATGCTGCGCCCATCGTTCTCCGTGTGCTTATAGCAAGTCAGACAGACATGCAAACCACATGCCGCCTGCACCTATCCAGATGCATATGCACAAATCAAAGCACATACAGAAACACATTGCCCAAAAACAAGCAAAAGCAAGGAGCGTCTGACATCCGTTCACATGCATGCATGCACGTTGATACTCCAACAGGCACGTTTGCTGCTAGACGGCTTTGGACTCTGATCGAATTTCAGCAGTAAACACACTCAATACTCTCATTGTATGCACTGACGTCAGCTGCAGCCAAGAATCGAGTCGACTTCCCACTGATACTCCCAGCCAGGCGCGACATTCTCCCACTTCATGACCTTCTAACTGAGCGCGGGCAGCGTTCTATTGCCGGTGAAATCTATGAACATTGCCGGAAGGCTGCAACTAGCCAGGTGACCAAGTATGGGCCCTTCCCGAAATATTTCTTTTGTGAATCTGGACGCTTCTGCTCGTGTTCCATGCCTGCAGCAAGCAGCAGCACCGTCACGCAATGCGAGCTTTCCCTTTTCACGACCACGAATTCACATAGAGCACAAGGTTGCTTTGCCCTCCATCCCCCCCTGCAATCACTCGCCGGTCCTACACCGCCTTCCCGACACCAGCATGGAGGTGGATCAATTTTTGGCCGACAAGGTACCGAGCAGGTGTCCCAATTCATGCATCACCGATCCAAGTTCACGGATGGTACTGCACCAACCTTGGTACTTTGGCAGCTGCAGAGTGGGGTGCGGTCGTTCGGGCTACGGCGAACACCACGCAACCACAGTGGTCGGAACTCATGGCGGACTGATAGCTGCCGGGACAAGAGACATCCTCAGCCAAGTTGCCAAGGTTCATCCTAGAGTTGTCAGCGGCCCCAATGAAGGCACTATAGCCTTTCTGGTGTTGAGTCAGCTGCGGAGTACACTTCCTGTACGATACGAATGCCATGAGTCTCCAACATAACACCAAGCAGCAAGAGGTGTAGTCATCCACGCCAACAGACGCGTAGGTTTGATTTGGTGGCTTGGAATGCTCCATGAAAAGTATGCACGTCTTCGACATGTAAGCTTGGCAAGCCTCGGCATCCGTGTAATCTGATTAAGAAAAGGCCTGCAGACAGCACCGCCTTGCATCTGTGTCTTTTCCACGGAGCAGCAGCACGGAAGACTTCCTTTCGTCCACCATCCAAGCGTTCATCGAAAACATACGGGACCACAACGTGAGTCTTCCACTGTTGCGAAATCCCCTCCTCGGATGCTGTGTGAGCATGACTGTCGTTTGCCATGCACCACGTGCCAGCGTCATGCTGGGAACCCATTCCCACTATTCCTTTCCGGACAACAAATCGGGCAATGGTACAACTTCAACATCCGTTCCAAAACAAACTTTGGTACTCTGGCATGCTCTGGCAACACACTGCAACACCGTGTACCCAAAAAGCTGGCAACTGTCAGCAGAAATTCACCGCCCTCCGGTGCGTGACCCAAATCCAGAAAATAATAAATATACCAAACAACAACTGCTCAAATGTCCGATATCTTGGAGTAAAGCATCTCCAGAAAGAGCGGCTGTGCGATTCGACCACAAGCCTGCGCCACTTGCGCAATTGTGCGGCCAGCCTTCCGTGCCAAAAAACGAACACCAGAGAGGATTTAGCTATTTCGAAGGTGCTGGATGATATGTGCGTGTGTTTGCTTGCATGTATGCAAACGGCTTAGATTGCAGCAACTGTGCATGTCAACTGGCGCATGACATCACAGCTGTCCTGACCTGTGTAAGCTCTGGTGTACTGCGAATTTTTCCGGGAACCAAACAGTGGCTGCTTGTTACGTTCAGTATCATTGTGCCAGTAGGTTCGATCTTGGCAAGTACAGGAGTTGGCGTCCCAACTCCCATCACGGATCAGGCCAAGGTCCTTAACTAGAGCCCGGAGCCCGTAGACCCGCAAGGCCCGCAGGGGCCCGAGCCAGTAGAGCCCGTAGGGTGCGTAGAGCCCGTAGGGCCCGTAAGGAAGCCCGTAAAGGCCCGTAGAGGCACGCCGGGCCCGTGGAGCCCATAGGTTAGGACCTCATAGACAAAGCCTCCCGGACCTGATGCTATGCACCATTCTGTGCTTCAGCACCCTGATGCTCATCATCGGAAATGCTCGGGAAATTCTCACCGTAACGTTAAGGACCAACTCTCCTGGATTTTTGGAAATTTTGGCAGTTTTGGAATGTTGAAAATTTTGGAAAGATAGGGGTTCCCAAACTCCCAAATTTTGGAAAAACCAAGTCCACTAGGTACAGCAATATTGAAATTTTCGGAAATTTTTGGAAATGTTGGGATTAAGATATTTTTCTAGCACTGTTCGGTTTTCATTCAGAAAATTGTCATATTGTCTATACTTCTACTCCTACTAAATTGAATGAGTGGAGCGTACTAAGCAAGTAAGTGTAACTACGAAATTGAAACTTCGATTCAGTTTAAAGCTTTCTGAACTTATTTGGTCTTCTAACATAAGCTCAACGCAGAAATTAAAACAATCGTTATTCATACGTTTATAACCATTGCTACTACTACTACTACTACTACTACTACTACTAGGAATGTTCCCTCGCAGTCGTGGCAATGCTGCATGTGTTTGGCACTGCCGAGTCAGAAGGTCTTGTACAAAGAAAATAAACAAAACAGATGCCCTAATAAAACGAAGGAGTCCTCGCGACTTCCCCCGGAGCATCATGAACATACGATTTCCCACACACTGTACAACACTATACAAAGCTTTTCCCGAGTCCTCAACCTTGCAAGGATCTGTGTCAACTACACAAGGGACAGGACATGGGAATACGAAGGGCGCAGGAGGGCGGGATCAAAAGCTGGTCCTGTAAGCCCAACCGCATCGGGTCAATTCCTAAATCACGTGAACGTAGGATCAAGGAATGTTCCCTCGCAGTCGTGGCAATGCTGCATGTGTTTGGCACTGCCGAGTCAGAAGGTCTTGTACAAAGAAAATAAACAAAACAGATGCCCTAATAAAACGAAGGAGTCCTCGCGACTTCCCCCGGAGCATCATGAACATACGATTTCCCACACACTGTACAACACTATACAAAGCTTTTCCCGAGTCCTCAACCTTGCAAGGATCTGTGTCAACTACACAAGGGACAGGACATGGGAATACGAAGGGCGCAGGAGATGGAAATCGTGCTTTCCACTTTCCCTAAGGACACTCGTAACAACGACGCTCAAGGACCCGCTCCCAGAACAAGTTTTGGATGCGAAGCGCTTTGGAGGGAAGCGTAGTCGATATTTCGACGGATGCTGCAACTGAATCGGAGATATATATGCGCGCAGTCCGCTCAGAAGCCCACCTACCGGCCTGGCACACTTGCGAATAGCTACCTGTCATTTTGAAAGCGTGAGTGGCCCCTCCTCGTCTTAACGAATAGGGCTTGAATGCTTGTGGCAAACCACAAAATTTTAGCGCATCGCGGAATGCAGCTCGAAATGCATGTGCCGATAATGGAACCAAAAAGGACGTAGACAAGACCGAAGATTTCCAGGCGGCTATTTGCTTGACTAAATGCGGCTGAGACAGTGTGACTGCTTCGTTCATGGCGCGGCGGCCGGATACTTTAGTTTCACACAGATTGATGACTGCAATGGGCTTGCCTGGTCGCACTGACACGTGTTTGGCTTGAACGGAAAGCAGTTCGCCCGTTCGCAGCAAACTATAGAAAGCTACTTGAAGGGCAAGTGCCAATGCACCTTGTTTTTGCAAGATGAAAAACCCCGACATTGCATTAACTAATTCTGGAAGTAGAGGGGGTGATCTGACTGGCAACTCATGTTTACTCCACGTCTTCAAAAGACGCCATGACTGGGGCAAATGCCCACGCACATGCGGCAGTTTATCTTGAATAGCTGACAAGGTGTCAGTTGCTAAACACTTGGATTCACCTTCCTGCCACAAATGTTCTACAAAAGCACCGAGGAGTTCATCTAAGCGGAAATGAGACGAAGGTAATACTATTTCATTTACTTTAAGATATAAACAGAAACTGCGCAATGCCTTGTCGTATCGTATTCGTGTTGGGTTCTGCACCGTCAAACCTGCAAGCGGGCCAAGTTTGGCCCTGGCCTTTGCCCTAGCCTGCTTGGTGGTATGCGATCTTATCTTTTTCGGCGCCATTTAAATTTGTGTGCCTTCTTTACCCTGCTAGGGTGATCGGCAGGGTTTGTTTGCGAAGAGACATATGCGAGGCAGGGCTGCAGATTGGCGGCAAGTAACCAGACACTTATGCGATACATGACAAGGCGCAATTTCTTGGACGAGGATCGACCTTTGTTTGCTATGTACAGCGAAACCAAGGAATCAATTAGATGAAAAAACTTGCTGTCAGTAAGCCCTTCCTGAACGACACGCCACTTGATGGTCGTGAGGAAAGCAGAGAGCTCTAGGTAATTTATGTGGCAACCTGGTCGTCTCCAATGCCACGAACAAACTGTGCGCCAACGCCAAAGCTGGCTGGGCACGGACGTGCGGAGTCTGTGAAAAGATGGAAGAGGTTCAGAACTCGACAGAAGTAAAACATCTGCACCTTTGTTTGACACCAACGTGGACAAACGCCTGACTAACTCAGTTTGTGCTTCAGCATCTCGTCCGGCTCCTATAGACGCCGGAGAGCGAAACGGAAGTCGCAACAGAAACGACCCTAAGTCAGGAGCCTTTCCTGGAGTACACAAATCAACGACGTCTTGGATATTGCGGGCGGGCACGAGACCGTGCTCATAGAATAACGACTGCAATAAAAAAGCTAAGATTGGAACTGATGACGTAGCTGCTAACAGAGTCAACCGGGTATTCTGGTAACCAAGTATGTCGCGCGTACGCATGCTTTTAGACCAAACTTGCATTGTGTAGTCTCGGGGAAAGCCCAAAATGGCTTCTCTTTCCTGCACGGAGGGCAAACGCCAAGACCCCGCCGAGGAAACAAGACCGTTTTTCCACTGGTACTGATAAGGAGCAAATTTGTGGCCATCTTCAGACCATCGCTGCAAATCAGACTGACTACATACATGTAACCCAAGCGAAGACTTCGAACACGACTGTGCTGCTGTAAAAGTGGGCAATACTCCATCAGGGGATGCTAACTGCCACCCTGGTTCTAAAAAGGTGGTGGGTTGCAGAGCGGCTTCTAGGTGGATACGGCCAAAAAGTGACGAGTGACTGCTTTGCGGGTTGACTATGACACACCCTGGCTGAGTCGGAATTTCCCAATCAAACCAGAAAAGTCGTTCTCGCCTAGCGAGAGAAAGATGTCCAGCATCAAGCATGTATGGAAGGACATTGAGCGCACGCGTGTGCACTGCTCTGTCCTGCTCCGGCAAACTAAAAACATTCTCGCACAAGGAATAAACTCTTGCCCAAGGAAAACATTGGCGGATCAAGGAAACTATGCGGGGAACATGAGACACCAGATTGCTGCTGCTGTCCTCAATTCCTCCCAAGTGCATATGCTTTTGAGACGATGCCCCCTGATAGGGCAGGCCGCACCCTACAAGGACCAAGCTAGTCCTAGAAAATAGGGCCGCCCAACTCTGTACTGTTTCAAAAGATACTTTCTCCACATTTTCAACGTGCATTGCACTGGGAAAGAAAGAATCCAGGACGCGCCTGCAGCTCTGGTCTTGCTCTATGCTTACGTAACCACATAGCGGCACGTTGAGAACATCTAAAGCGACTCTGAGAGCCCCCAGCCCGTCACTAACACTGACTGCTAAAACGCCCTGGAGCTCAGACGGTGCTGGCAGTTTACCCCGAACGGCCTTGCTTGAAGCTGTTACACCTAAACCTGTTAGCTTCGAGGAGACTGTGACACCCCCTCCCTGCTCACTGGCATCGCTGGCTGTGGCCAGTTTGCTCCACTGCGTCCTGAAATTGATGCGTGCCAAAGGCAACAAGCAAATGAACGTCAAGACTTCGCGCTTGACTGCTCTAGAGATTCGGAGCTCTTTCTGCCGAGTGTTGTTGAAACTAACAATAAACGTCCAAATGCGGTTCAAAGAGGCCATTAAGGGCCTTTGATACATGGATATGTATACTAAACCCCCTGCACAAATTTGCGCTTGCTTCTGGGTACAGCTTTCCGACTGAAGGAAACGCAATGCAATGCCTAAATATTTTGCCAGTTTCGGCAGCTTGGGAGTGGCACACCCTAAAACTCCATCTATTTCTGCACCCTGAACTTCTGCGAAACGAGAGGACGCCACGGATTTTTTGACATTCCGAGGGAGTCCTAACTCTGTGTATACATTACGAAGCGCTTCAACAAAATCCGGGGAAGAACCCTCAATGGCTTCTGCAACCTCTTTGTGGTTTCTTTGAAGCAAATCAAAGTTATCTAGATATATTCGGAAAAGAGGTTCAGCTTCCGGCCAAGTCGCGTTTCGACGCAACTCGTTAGACTCTGGCACCTGGGCTCGCGCTGCTGCCAAGTGGACAATATTTCTATGTAAGTGCTGGGCGATAGCTACGCTATTTATAAAACCCATTGGCAACACACGTGCACATAGCACATGTGGGCGGCTATCTCCGGCTGGATTCAGAGAAGTTGGGATAACTTTGTTAAAACCC